AAGTTCCTAAAAGTGCAAGGCCTTGATTCAATCTTCATCTTCAATGAAGATGCAGATTTTCAAAGAAGGGAGCGGTTTTGCACGGAGATTCTGGGCAAAGTTGATGAGGATAACTCTTTTCTGGGAAGCCAAATTTTCCAGAGAAGGCATTGTTAATTCAAGAAATCAACACTTTTGGTGTGCTGAAAATCCACATGTGGTCCGGCAAGGGAATTTCCAAAAAAAATTTAGTTTTAACGTTTTTTGTCTGTTGATGAAGGATCAATTTTCATTTTGTATCTACGAAGAGAACCTGACATCAGAAAAATACCTGGAAATATTGAATTCGACGGTAAGCGAATTTTTGGATGAACTGCCTTTAAGCGAAAGGTTTCTTTGCTGGTACCAATTGGATGGCGCGCCGGCACATTGTTCTAGAAGAGTTTCGGAAAATTTGCAAATATTATTTAACGAAAAATGGATTAGAAGAGGTGGTCCATGGGAATGGCCTCCAAGGTCACCGGACCTAACACCTCTAGATTTTTATCTTTGGGGCGTTATAAAAGCTAAAATTTATCAAACACCCAGCAACAGCAAAGAATCTCTTGCTCAGAAAGTGAGACAAGCGTTGTCCCATGAAGAAATTTTGAGAACAACTTCTGAAGGTGTCTTGCGACGTATTAATATGTGTCAATGTGTCAATATGTGTGAACAACACGGGCGATACATTGAACAATTACTTTAGATTTGTTTTATTTGTTACATTTGTTTATTTTTTCAATATAATTTTTGAATTTTAAATTGATATTTCTTTTAATGTTGTTTAATACAAAATAAAAACAATCCAACCCACAATACTGATTATACACATTAAAAGTTCCTATTGTTCTTTCTAAAACTTTTCTTTTTTGATTAGTGTAATTATTATCATCCATTGTAACACAATTGTCAGAGACGTTGACATTGACATTAGTTCATAAATACGAAATAAAAGACAATCCAACGCACACTACTCATATTAGAAATAAAAAAATAAGCGGTTTTTTCACATTTTTTGTAATATCTCTGTAAATATTGATTTTAGGTATAGGGAATGCTGCAGCATTTCAATAGAAAATTTTATTTTTTGTCCAATAATATTTGAAATAAGAAAGTTATTGGTAGGGATCTTGGCTTGTTATTGGACAAAAAGCTCCACTTCTGCAACCATATTGACGCCATAGTCGCTGAGGCAAACAAAATGTTGGGCTTTGTATTAAGGATGTGTGAAGACTTTAGCACCCTTCGCCCTCTTGTCTTCCTCTTTGTGAGTTTGGTTAGATCTCGCCTGGAATATGGGTCAACTATTTGGTCACCATTTTATAATATTCATGTTGATAGAGTCGAGTCCATTCAAAGCAAATTTGCTCGTCACATGAAGTACAGATTGCTCAAAGTTGGAATAGTATTAAGTACTCAGGATACCTTGCAATATCTAAGACTAAGTTCGCTCAAGAGGCGCAGATTAAATAAGGATGCTTGCTTCCTCTTTAAGGTATTTAATGGCTTGATTCTATCTTCTGAAATACTGGCTTCTTTTAACTTGAAAATACCGACGAGGGACTTGAGGAATCCCATGTTATTAGATATTCCCAACTGTCGCACAGTATATGCCAGTAATTCTCCATTGAGTCGGGTTTCCAGAATATGCAACAGTCTCTCCTCAGTAAACTTTTTTAATTGCTCTTTGGCATCCTTTAAAACCCAGCTTAATTCCCTCGATGGTCTTTGATTGCTGGCATGTGTGGTGAGACAGACGAGGCTTTATTACTATTGGATTTTTGTACCTGATATAACATATTACATTATATTGTTTTTGTTACTAGAATTAATTTGATTTATTTATTGTAAACCAATGTATAACTGCTATTTAGCGTTAATAAACATTAAACATTATTATTATTATTTTAAGTGACAAAAAAGTCAACGTAACTACCGGACACCCTGTATAAAATTTTCAAATATTATTAATGGCTTTCTATAGAGTGCTCCTTAGTTAATTGTTACACCAAAAATTAACTTTTTAACATTACAATTAGTGGTAATACAGACATATTAGTAAGACAACCCATCTGTCAAAATTTAAAAAAAATTAAATATCTCAAAAACTGTTAAAAATAAAAAAAATAATTAAATTTTAGTATTTCTAGAATTTTACGTAGAATTCAAAAATTCAATAATATTTATATGGTTCCATTTGAAAAACCAAAGTTGATAACACTTCCGGTTTAACCGGAAGTGATAACGCATTGAAAATAATTTTAAAAAGTAGTTTACATTGGCTTATAATTGCTATACCAATTTCAAATCGATATCTTTTTTCGTTCTCCATAAACTTCTAAACGTTAGGTGAATCACCCTGTATACAGGGTGAGCCAAAAATCGCTTATTTTTAATAAAGCAAAAGCGTAAATTCATGATTTTGGCATAACACGCAAAAAAGATTTATCCCCATTTTTTTTTAGATATTTTTACGTTTATCAGGTTACAAAATGGCATTCTTATTAACCTTTTATAAAAAAAAAAAAATTTTAATAAAATTAAATAAAATAACGAGAATATGTTGTTGAATTTTGGCTTTTTAGTAGTTTTCAATTTTGATCCAAAAACTGGTTAAAGTTTTTTGATCGGCACTCTTTGGAGATTTAAAAAAGAATTTTTACCAAAATTTTTTTTATTATTTGTTTATCGCAACACAGATAGCACAAAGAACTTCTTTGAAAGAAGTACTGGAAACGTCCTAAGTATATCTTGTATTAGACATTAGTAAGTCCCGAGTACGTCCGAATCAGGTCCTGAACCTTCCGCAGGACGTACCAGGGACATCTGATGTTACCAAATCGTGGGTCCCCAAAACGTCCTAAGTAAGACATTCTCTGGCCGTCCTGAAATGCTTTATTGGGGACTATTGGACAAGCTTTACAGAATTGAAGAATCTAAGTGACAAAAATAAAACTGTGAGTTATCAATGAAAAACAAATATTTTGCACATATAAATGTTGGAATATTTTTAAGTAATTCTGTATGACAAACTATTTTTAAATGATAATATATTATTTAATCAACTTGGCACCCTTTGGAAATACCATGCTTCAATTACTAAAAAACAAAGTATATCCGCTTTAATTTTCCCAGATAAGTAAGAGACTGAACGTACCCAAAACTTCCGATATAGGTCTGGGACGTTCGGACCCCACATTGGTCCGAACGTCCCAGACCCGAAATGGACGTCCTAGGTACCTCTTGTGCTATCTGGGAAAGTCTACCTTTCCCAGAGTCAGCGTTGCCATTCGTACGGTAATTACCGTATTTGTACGGTTATTTGAATGAAAATACGGTATACGGTACAAACCTCAATACCGTACACAAATGTACGGTAAATTTACTACTTAACTGACATATTTTCATACATAATATTTTTTTATTTTTGGTGTTTTTATTTTATTTGTTTATTGTCTATAGAAAAACCTCTATGGTCCTTTCCTTCTTTTGTCTATGGTTTTTCTACACATTTAAAAACATACTTCCACACAGTGCATTTAAATTAATATAGCGCCATCTCGGGTTCAGCTGCATAAGAGAATGATGAGTTTTTAATCGAATAATAATATCATTGAGTAAAGAAGAACGAACATCTTACTCAATGATAATATTCTAATTAATTTTAGTCCAGCTCATATATCTAGGATTAGAATGAAATTCTTGGAGAAAATTATGGGCTGCATTTTTGAGTTGTTTTGTTAAATGTTTTTTATTTAAATTAACTTTTATTTATTTTAAGTTTTCAATAAAAAATATTTTTTAATTTTGTTGCTTTTATATTTTAAATATTTTATTTTAATTTTTCAAATGTACGGTAATTTTTTCTTAAATACGGTAATTTTTACCAAGCAGGTACGGTAATTTCATTTTGATCATCTGGCAACGCTGCCCAGAGTACACATTTGTACACCGATTTTTATTGATTGCAGTTTTTTGTTCGGGACCCTTTGGTAACTTTAAAATCATATTTACCAAAATCCTAGCTTTTCGAAATTTTTTGAAAATTCTTAATTTTTTTTTAATTTTTGTTTATCTTACCTTTGACAGAGTACACATTTTTACACCGATTTTTATAAAATTGGAGTATATTGTTAACGAGATTTGGAGAATACTGTTTTCATACTGAGCACATCATTAGATTTATACAGGGTTAGCCAAAAATCACTTTTTTATATAGTAAAAAGCATTATGCACAAAAAAGATATATCTCCAAAAAATGTTATTTTATTTAATTTTATTCAAAATCAATGTATCTTATAAAGTCTTAATAAGAATCCCATTTTGTAGCCTGATAAACATAAAAATATCTAAAAAAAAAATGTGAATTTAAAATTCTTAGTCATAGTTTTAATTAAAATCTAAAATATTACACGTAAGTATAATGAGCGAAATAAATCTTATCTAGCAAAGTCTTTAAGTTTGGCGATAACCTGATTTCACTTAAATTGCCAATCCATACTGCTACATAAAAAACAATTTCCAAAGTATTAAAACAAGTATTAAAATCACTTCAAAATTACGTAAAACTTTGGTGTTCTAAAGAACTTATGAATAATTTACCAAAATTTCACAAGTTTAACACGTACTCGTTGCAAATTTGTCTGCTGGGATGTGTATACTTTGAGGGTATTTTTTTATTTGAAAAGTTATAAGGTCGGTTAAATCAGAAAAAAGTCGCGTAATTACAAACCTATTAATATAAAATTTATAAAATTCCAAAATATTTAAAAAAACGTTATTCCTGTGAATTTTGAAAAAAGTTAGTATTACATGTAAACATACACATTAATTTACATTTTCTTATAATTTCTTCGCTACTATATTTTGACCTACCATCACATCTTTTGTTTTTAATTTCGCACTTGTTTCTTGTAGCTCTTTATAAAATATATTGAATATAAATAATAATTATAAATTTTATACAATTAATCATTTATTAGCCTCCACCCTCACCAAAGAGCAATAAAGAAAAATCTTCAGTAAGTGATAGAAAAAAATTCTTCGAATCTGCAATGGAAGAAAGTCAAAAGCCTGCAAGGCCAGGTTAGTAAACTAATTTATATATAAGAAATAAATTGTATGTAATTATTTGTCTTTTTTAGAAAAAGTATTTAGTTATTTAAGCCAGGACGAAATTGAAAAATTAAAAGCCGAAGAAGAAAAAAAAATTGCCGACTTATCCGCTGCTGAAGTAAATTCCTTAAACCCTCTGGATAATTCAGATGACGAATCAATTGATTTACAATCACAAACAAGGTAGGTATACCTACTACCAGTGCGGTAGCCTTGAGGCTAATATATAGTAAATTCCTTTTTTACAATGTATTTCCTACAGGACTTTAAGTAGTATCGGCGTTATTCGGACAGCAAAAGCTGAAAAACGTTACAGAGAAAGACTGCGCGATGAGAGCCTTTTAACTGATGAAGACGAGAACCATTTATCTCCTGCAGAAGAGAGAGCATTAAAAGCGGAAAAGCGAGCAGCATGGAGAGCGGCAAGATTAAAATCTCTTGAACAAGACGCAATTCAGGCACAGATTGTAATCAAATCGATGACAGACATAGTCGGATCTGGTGATGCACCCGTATCTACCATCGCAGAAGCCTCGCCTACAGACGAAGTAAGTTTCGTGATTTTTTTAAATTTGGTACTAATAAATAAATTAAATTTTAATTCCAAAAAAATCTTAAATATAATTTAATATTAAGCATGTCAATAATAAAAATTATGCTTTTTTAATTGTTATTAATCAAAATTGCAACCAACTTAAATAAAAATTATTGTTTGACTAACCCTTATAAACGAATCTATGTATTTAAAAACGTCGTCCAGGGCGAAGTTACTAACAATATTGCATGTATCCAGCTGAAGCCCTCTAGTGCTGATTTTCCGAAACTGGCATTGAAAAGTGTACCTGGCCAAACAAAGGTCCGCGAGAGTGAGAAAATATTGGGCGAAACTAGAACAAGAAAAACCGAAGAATATATTGATGACACCACTGGAGAAAAACGTGTGCGTACCGTCGAGTATGTTGAGAAACTGATCGAAAGAGAGGTATAAATAAGATGTACACCCAGCATGCCCTTATTGCACTCTGGTTAGTTTAACATGTTTCTTTTTTTGAGTTTTATTTTTGGTTGCAGAGGTAACAAAATTAGAAAATATTTTAAAATAATCAATTTTTTATATTTTTAGACTAATAGAACTAATTAAAAAATGATCAGAACATAATTTTGCCATTAAATTTCCCATCTGATTTTCAGTTTAAAAATGTTTTTTTATTATTTATAATAATCTACATTACTTGTTAGTTACTACTAGTAACTTACTAGTAACAGTTGGGTTTAATATTTCTGTCAGATGTCAGTTTATTGATACAGACTAGTTTAAAAAATAGGTGACATTGCTTCTACTGTAAAATTTTATTTTTGTATGCCTTTTCTCGGATCGCGTTACATATATGTACAGGGTGCTTCAAGTATCCTATGTGTATACTTCTTTGGGTATTTTTATTATTTGAAGAGCTACAAGGTCGGTAAAATTAGAGAAAAATATTTAAAAGAAAATAAATACCTTTTAAAACCAAAAACCGTTGTAACCTGGTTATTCCTGTAAATTTTTTAAAAAGTAATTTTTACATGTAAACATACACATTAATCTACATTTTCATCCAATTTCTTCGTTACTGTATTTTGAGTTACCATCACCATATTTTGTTTTTATTATATAATTTGATACATTGTTGGATTCCTTGATTTTTTTCTATCTAACCATGTAAAATTCCAATGTGGCGGCAATAGCAAAATCAAAAAAGGTGGTGGTAACTCAAAATCTAGTAGGCGATAAAATTCACAAATTGGATTAAAATGTAGATGTTTATGGTGACATGTGAAACTTACATTTTTCAAAATTTCCAGAAATAACGAAGTTTTAACAATTTTTGATTTTGACAGATTTTTAGTTTTTCTCAATATATTTTAGATTCCAGCAAGTACAAGCGTCCTTAGGACGTCCTTGGACCAGCCAATATGTTAAATATTTGCTACAAAAATCCTAAAAATATAACTTTTTTTCGATTTTAAAAAATATTTTAATAGGCTTGTAATTACAAAGCTTTGCTCTAATTTAAATGACCTTGTAGCTCTTTAACACATTCACTGCCCACCCCAAAAAAGAGTATTGCTTCATGTACCACCTAAGTTTTTCTTCATATTTTTTAATTTAAATAAGTGCATCTTGTTTCAAATAAATTCTAGTATAGGTTTTCAATTTTATTTTTTGAAAAAAAAACAAAAAACAACCAGGTGCGTTGTGGGCACTGGTTGAGTGATAAACCATGTTCAGTGCCTATGAAGGCGCCCCACGCGTTCTTGTTAATAAAATGGGAAAATCTTGTAAAATAATGTTATTTATTATTAAGAACGCGCCTAGCGCGGTGTGGACATATGGCCGCAGTACTTGTAAACGCGCCACGTGTTAAATAAAAAAGACCAACCCATCTATAGAAGGATACTTGGTAAACCCTGTATAAAAATCACAAAAAAAACGGGAAGTTTTTCAATTATTTAAGTTACGTTAAGTTAAGTACATAAGTTTAAATAAGACTGTCAAGCTTGACTGTATTATTTAAACTTGTAGTTTAATTTAAACTATGTAGTTGTTGACCTAGGCGTTCGACCTCGTTACGTGTCAAACCAAAGTTGAAATAATTCAAATGCATGATACCGCACACAATGCACGGCAGTGTTGCCATAGGTGGTACATTTGTAACTTTTTGGTACATTTGTACCTTTTTGGTACATTTGGTGCTTTGCTGGTACAGAAGTACTTTAAGAACTATTTTGGTACATTTTAATGATTTTTTAAATTTTGAAATTTTTTCAATATTTTGCCTATTTTCAATAAAGTTGCTACTTTGTTTCCCTTTCTTTTCGGTCATTTTCTAGTATTCCACTTCCTGTCTTACAATAGCGTTATTAAAATCGTCTATCTTTATTCGTTTTATTTTCATACTCGTCTGTTGGCAAACGAAAAACCCAAAAACGTTTTTTTTATTTCATTTAAATGAGAGGTACCACACCTCAAAGTCCCACCACGTGACCACGTACGGAACGCAGTCTTTTGAAAATTTGGCATTTAAGGGTTTTCAGGTTATGTATCTGTCAAAATATAGTTAATGAAAGAAATAATATTTATAGTGTTACCGCTTATGTTTAAGATACATACCTTAAGATAGGATGGTGCGCATGTTGGGCGGGGCTTAGATACGTCACTTGATGAGTGTTTTTAAATCTTTAACGTGCTATTTAATTATCTGCTGCTAAAATTCTTGTTCTTGCGATGCTGTTGGATGTTAACTTGCTTTATTTTTTGTTTAACTTGTTGTTTTTGCTTTCGGTAAGGTTCGAATTAATTTTCAGTGTTCAAATTATTGTTATTGCGTTGTGTTAACCTGTTCTGTTTGTTTATTATTGTTTTTGTGTTGCGTTAACTTGTTTTGTTTGTGTTTTAGTTTGTGTCGTACTATTTGCATTTATTAAAATGCGGTGTCACACCGCCGGTGTGGCATATTTGGATGCAATTCAGACAACCAGTCCAAAAAAAACCCTTTAAATAAAAACATTAAATTTAATCGATTCCCGAAAAACTTTGATTTGTGGAAACAGTGGTTAAATGCCACAAAAAGAATAGACAATATTAACGTTAAGACCGCTTCTGTTTCCTATAAACATTTTCTGGACAGTGGCTATAAGTTTAATTTAAATCACCAACGGTTAAACTACAGCCCTAAACGTTATCAAGGACTAAAAGCATCTATTATCCATATTATAACACTTTCTTCAATATTAAGTTTAATAAAAACGCACTATGTTCTTTGATAATATTACTATTATTCGTGTATTCGCACGGCAACTACTCATCAAGTGACGTCATGCGCGGCATGAACCAAAACTCGTACACGGGAGCATCCAGCCCTGCTTCTCTATTATGGAATAAGAATATCTGTATCAAAGGTAGGTTAATGTATTAGAACAAAAAATATCATCTAATTTTGTATTTTTAGGTTAGAAAAATCTATTTTGACCAAAATAAATAAGTGGATTATTTGAAAAAGTGTGTTAATATGGTCATAAATAAATATAGGTATACTAAATAATTGTTGAATATGGTTCAAATTAAATTGAAGCTTTTATACTTTTAACGACGAAACTTGTGCATACCTCTAGGCATACCTACTTTAAGTTAGATTATAAAAAAACAAACAATTTTTATAAAAACTTGCAATGTGAAAATATTTAATACTCCCATGACATGTGATTTATTAAAATTTTTAAAGTTTTTTATGTAGATCAAATTCAGTCGAAGCTTTATTATAACTAGGTATTTGTATTGACAAAACTTTATGTAGGTACACTTTAAGCTGGATTAGAAAAACTACCACATTTTTAAATACCATATTATACAGTCTTTCAAATAATCCAAAATACAGTAGAAACCACTAATATATGAACGTGACTCATCGGGTGCCGAACATATCTCAGACATGCTAGCAGTAATGTTTTACTTGTCTTGTACATTCGATGCAGCGGTAAATGTACTCACACGTAGGTTTTTAAGCATCCGGTCTAAAATGCGCCATCTGTGATGTAAAACTGCCTAGGTGTTGGACAAAGATGGACATATGACGCTTGTCCTAGCTTGTTACTTATATTCAGTAGAGTTCGTGTTTTAGGCATTTATTTTATTTTATTACATAGTAAGGCAACCAACTTTACCGTCGGCCATTTGTTTTTATATGTCATATGATCTTTGTTTTTGCATATCGTGTTTCTACTGTGTGTTTACGGATTAATAATCGTTTTAAACGTTGTAGTGGCAGTGGTTTATATTATGTAACACAGGTAGATGTCGTATAAAAATCCTTACCTAGAAATTCTAGGCTAGAATACAAAAATATTTTTATTATATAAATTTTGTACAAGTATTAGTTTAATACATTCTGAAGAAGCTACTGTGTAGCAAAACAATTGTCAATATTCAATAAATTTCGTGAAACTAACGCAAGTTGTTTTTATATCCACACAATTTAAATATCTTTCACTTTGTACCTGTTTTTTGTCACCAATTCTGAAATATTTGCGTTTACAGTTAAAAGAATAGTATATTCTGTAACAAGTTTGACGGTTTCACGAGAGGGGAATATGCAATTCCAAACGTGTTTCAGACTATACTAAGAATTTAATTGGAAGAAAGTGAGGTTGGATCGGTCTAAAAATTTGTTATTAAAATCAGAGATGTCGCCACGAGTGTACGTTCTGTCAGCAGATAATAGAATATTTCATTAAAGTTAAAAGAAAAGTTTATTTATTAGATTAGATTGCTTCGTACGAATGTGTCGGATGAGTCACGTTCATATATTCGTGGTTTCTACTTTATTTATTTTGCTCAAAATAAATTTTTCTAACCTTAAAATTACAAAATTAGATTATATTTTTGTTATAATTTATTAACCTACCTTTAATACGGATATACTTATTCCATAATAGAGAAGCTAGATTTTTTTTTAATAAATGCTGTTTAGTTAAAATTATTTTATGGAGAAAACCAGAAATATATTTCGACTAAATGCACAAGAATATTACTTATTTGGCACCATACACTTTAGAATTTCATTAAATGCAGTATTTATATTCCTAAATTGTTATTGTAATGTTATAAAGATTTATACATTTTTAACGCCCAAACATAATAATATTTCTTTCGTTGAATATACTTTGACAGATACATAACCTGAAAAAGACTGCGTTCCGTACGTAGTCACGTGTGGGACTTTGAGGTGTGGAGCAGGGCCAGCAGCTTTCGAACTAACTTAGCTTTGTTGATAAAAAGTCGGGTATCTATCCACTAACACAATTAGTGGTAGCAAACTAGAAACCCAGAGATAATAAACAAACTGCACGAACTGTAAATAATAATAATAATAATAGCTATTATCGCGGAGCTAATCCCGAACTAATTCTGGACATCCTAGGCATGCGCTTTTTAAAATTCGGCGTTCAAATGTAAAGTGCGCAAATATTAAAATGCGCATGCCTAGGATGTCCGAACTAGTTCGGGATTAGCACCGCGAAAACTCCTAATATAACTAAATGTTTGGTCGGTTACCGTCGGTATAGTAGAAATACCCTATATACATGTCGCGACGTGTCGTTATGTTATTCCTACTACACCAAGATACATACACTTATACATACTATACCGACCGTCTTTACTTTAAACTTTGGATTCCTTAGCTTCAACCATAAATTTGTAGAGAGCGTTGGTGTGTATCCCAGGCTAGCAGGATAAAAAATGCATAGACCGCAAAAGAAATGCAATTTTTCTGCTGATGATACGTGTGGTGCTGAGCACTACTATTTTCCTTTACGTGTGGTGCTTGAGCCCGCGAGCACCGCTATTCTCGCCGCCCGTGTTGTGGAGCATAGTACATTTCAGAGAAATTTGGTACATTTTAAAAGTCGAATTTGGTACATAATTTCTCCAACCACTGGCAACACTGATGCACGGCGTTGAACGCCGTTCGACGCTGTTCTGGGCGCTGACAATTGGCCAACTTTTTACTTTTACGTCGTCTACGCTGAAAACCTAACCTCACTTTCTGTAAAAAGGTGGCAAAGTTTGCATCTGTCATCTGTTTTGTGGTTTGTAATATCGATGACTTTCTGCCAAAGTATCGCAAGCAACATAATTCAAATTTCGGGAATTAAAAACATTTTTTGTTTTAATGTCTGTTTTAAATTAAATGTAGCCTAAAGGTTTTATAACAAGTAAATAGCTTATAATTACCCGGACAACAATCGGGATTTCCTGGTGAAGTCCTGATGATATCACAACGTGATTTTTTTATCACGCTGTGATATCCTGAGTGCATATACATGCTTCATCACAATGATATAATGTAGAACTCACGGTGTGATATTTGCAAAATTTGCGCATTTTGCGCATGCGTATGAGGCCTGCGAACTGCGAATTTAAAACCTAGTTTGTTATTCACATTACACCGTTATAATTTATAAAATGTTGTTTGAATATCACGAATGTTGTCCGGGTTCAATTAAAAAAGATATTCCAATGTTTAACAAAACGTGAACGTTTTGTTAAACATTGGAATATCTTTTTTAATTAAACCCGGACAACATTCGTGATATTCCAATGTTTAACAAAACGTGAACGTTTTGTTAAACATTGGAATATCTTTTTTAATTAAACCCGGACAACATTCGTGATATTCATACGAACATCATGTTGTGATTTTCACAAATTTTACTAATACTGATATCATACAGAAGTCACCGCGTGATAAATGAAAATCATACGAACGTCACGTCGTGATTTTCACAAATTTTATTCATCCGGATGTCACTGCTTGAGAATTGAAAATCATGTCGTGATTTTTTATGCTATCGCTGTTTGCGATTGACCGATGGCCTAAAAAATCATGTCGTGATTTTTTATGCCAACGGTGTTTGGATAATTATTTTTGCGCCACGTTCGTACTCTAAGAGAAAAATTATGTTGAATCAACAGTTTTTGCGGTTAAATACATTTAATATTTTCTTGGATTTAATTTAAATCCAAAAAAATATTGAATGTATTTAACCACAAAAACTGTTGATTCAATATATATGTAGGAATACTTTTTCTCTCAATGTACGAATGTGGCGCAAAAATAAATATCCAAACACCGATGGCATAAAAAATCACGACATGATTTTTTATGCCATCGGTGTTTGGATATTCATTTTTGCGACACATTCGTACATTGAAAGAAAAAGTATGTTAACAATTAAATCAACAGTTCAACATTCAATATTTTCTTGGATTTAAATTAACTATATATAGTTAATTTAAATCCAAGAAAATATTGAATGTATTTAACCACAAAAACTGTTGATTGAATATATGTATGTTATATCTCTGATGTAGAAATAGCCTTTTTAAAAAGGGTTTGTTTATTCTGGGCTAAATACCATTGATCACAATATAACAAGTGTTGAATTGGAATTTTATTCCAATTAATATTAAAGATGATTAAAATGCACTTATTGCTTCACTACTATATATTGAATTTAAACTTATTTATAATATACTTAAAAGATTGTCGAACAATAATTATTAGATGAATGACTATAATACTAGAACAAATATTATAATGAATGCTACATTTTGAATAAATAATAAATAATGAATGTTTAAAGTCAAGTTCACTTCTATATATAGTCTATGTTAAAAGTAGGGTAAATTCCTTATGTCAGCAGGCACCAGGGATACAAGGTCTTGGTGGCCTCTGGACAAAGGGATATTATATTTGTTTTAAATAACAAAAACAAAATAACTAAGATTATAGAATTAATAAACAATAATAAAGTATCTAATTTCTAATGTCTAAGCACAACACTTCACAAAGGGTTTATTGTTTAGAGGGCACCTAACATGTATGTATGTAGGTATACTTTTTCTTTCAATGTACGAATGTGTCGCAAAATTAAATATCCAAACACCGATGGCATAAGAATCACGACATGATATTTTATGCTATCGGTGTTTGGGCATAAAAATCACGACATGATTTTTTATCCCATCGGTGCACCGACATGTTTGGATATTTATTTTTGCGCCAAATTCGTAAATTGAAAGAAAAAGTATGTTAACAATTGAATTAACAGTTTTTGCGGTTATATACATTTAATATTTTCTTGGATGTAAATTAACTATTAATTTAAATCCAAAAAAATATTGAATGTATTTAACCACAAAAACTGTTGATTTAATATACATATGTAGGTATACTTTTTCTCTCAATGTACGAATGTGGCGCAAAAATAAATATCCAATGGCATAAAAAACCACGACATGATTTTTTATGCCATCGGTGTTTGGATATTTAATTTTGCGACACATTCGTACATTGAAAGAAAAAGTATGTTAACAATTGAATCAACAGTTTAACATTCAATATTTTCTTGGATTTAAATTAACTATATAGGTATAGTTAATTTAAATCCAAGAAAATATTAAATGTATTTAACCGCAAAAACTGTTGATTTAACATAATTTTTCTCTTAGTTACGAACGTGGCGCAAAAATGATTATCCAAACACCCTTGGCAAAAAAAATCACGACATGATTTTCATTTCTCACGCAGTGACATCCGGATGATGTCCGTATGAATAAAATTTGTGAAAATCACGACGTGACGTTCGTATGATTTTCATTTATCACGCGGTGACTTCCGTATGATATCAGTATGAATAACATTTCTGAAAATCACGACATGATGTTCGTATGAATATCACGAATGTTGTCCGGGTATAGCTATTTACTTGGTATAAATCCTATAGGTTATACAGGGTGTCCGGGAAAAGGAGGTCAATCCGTTAACCATATATTTCTTGAGTTAAAACAATAGGACTTTCATAATACCATTTTTCAATTTAGAGCTTCATGTTCGATATACAGGGCGACAAAGTTTGAAATTTAAAACTGATTTTTTTTAATAATTCAAATAATTGATAAGATATTAAGTTTAAATTCGGTACACCACTTCAACATAAATAGTTACATTTTTGGAGACCAACAAAACAAAAAACAATTGTCAAATAATCAAAATAGGGGGGGTCCAATACTCACTGACTCCCCCTATTTTTTAGTACGTGCGCCAATGACTTCCAAACGGTATTTTTTCAGGTAATCATTTATTGTTAAACATTTTTTGTCTCTTATAAAATTTTGATAAAATGATTTGTTTTAGAGATAATTTGTAAAGTATGGGTCAGTCCATATCAAATTTTCGAAATTTAATTTTTTTTTTTTTTAATTTAGGTCATGTGATATATCATAAAAAAGGTCTCTAATAGGCCTTTAAAATAAGCCACCACTCACCTTTCTACTTTTAATAGTTTACGAGATATCGCTATTTTTGTAAGTACTTGCAAGACCCAAATTTATCGGAATTTTTTGATTTTCAAAAATCAATAAAACAAAAGCCACCTATTGAAAAAAATTCATATATGGGATTTTTGAGTTTTTTAGTGAGGTAAACAAATTTACCAAAAATTATCAAAATCGGAGATGGTGGGGGAAGAACCTTTGGTTGATTTGATATGGACTGACCCATACTTTACAAATTATTTCTAAAACAAATCATTTTATCAAAATTTTATAAGAGACAAAATTTTTTCAACAATAAATGATTACCTGAAAAAATACCGTTTGGAAGTCATTGGCGCTCGTACTAAAAAATAGGGGAGTCAGTGAGTACTGGACCCCCCCCTATTTTGATTATTTGACAATTGTTGTTTGTTTTGTTGGTCTCCAAAAATGTAACTATTTATTTTGAAGTTGTGTATCGAATTTAAACTTAATATCTTATCAATTACTCGAAATATTTAAAAAAATCAGTTTTAAATTTCAAACTTTGTCGCCCTGTATATCAAACATGAAGCTCTAAATTGAAAAATGGTATTATGAAAGTCCTATTGTTTTAACTCAAGAAATATATGGTTAACGGATTGACCTCCTTTTCCCGGACACCCTGTATATGGTTTAAAACAGACTTTAAAACAAAACATTTTTTCAATTCCCGTAATTTGAGTTATGTTGCTTGCGATACTTTGGCAGAAATTCATCGATATGGATATTAAGAAAGTTATACACTCTAAATGCAATAGAAGATTTTAACGAAAACCTTGTTCAGTTAGTAAAATAAAACGAAATATACAATAAAAGGTGCAGTGCATATAAAAACATGATATTAGAAATAAAAAGTGTCAAGAAATAAGTAAAATGTAAAACTCCACGAGTAAGACTGGTATAAATAAACTGTAAACATTTAAATTCAGTAAAAATCATAAAACCTATAAGTGGTCTAAATGCAAACTGCATTATGAATTTTTAAGAAGGTCTTCACTCAACGGTAAAAGATAAAAAACGGGTATTATATATATTATTATACATATTAATATGTTGCCATGAATTCGTAAATATATTTTGTCTTTTACTATTTCAAAATACAGTTGTCGGCATTATTTTACAGGACTCAAACAAAAAATGTTTTATTTTACGGTTATGTTGGTATAATTATTATTTTGTGTTAGATTTTCTAAAAATGTCCAAACTTACATATAAATTATTATAGGTAAAGTTATCATTCAAAAACTTAACTATTTAAGCATATAAAGAATAATAAATCAAATCGAGTACTTAAACCAAGCAAAGTTTTTCAGTTTTTACTTGCTACTCGAAACACAAATAACATAAAATTTATCGAGTAAGACTTCTGCCTTCCTCTCTTTTGGTGAAAAAACTACTTATTCATTTATGATGTATGATTTAAATGTATTGTTGACAAACCTTGTATTTCAATAATGCTATCGAGCGACACCAGATGGCTGCCGCGTCCAGTATTGAAAAAATTAAAGCAATTACCTCCTAGGTAGGCATTTTTAATTATATTTGCAAGTCGTAGAAACACCTACTTTTCGCCCCTATGGAGACAATTATGTTTTTTGATAGAGGTATAGATTATTATCCACTAATTTTTTTTTCGAAAAATTCCAGTTAATTCAAAAATAATCGCGAATCGAAATTTTCATTAATAATATATATTAATGTACAGGGTGTTCATTTTAAAACTTCCCATCCTTAGGCGAGAGACGTAAATCATCCGAGTAAATAATGCCCATTATTTCGAGTAGGGTGGAAGAAGGAGGTGATTCAACTCCGTCGTTGAAGGCGGCCAGATAAGTCAGTATTTGTTAAAAATCAAAATAGATGGCGCCAAAAATAAGAACCTATTTATTTTTTTAAATCCCGGTGCACAAAAAACTTTTTCCATTTTTAGTAAAATTGCATTGATTAACTTCAAAGAATAGACCAATATAGTTCATTCCATTTAAGAAAAAAGTGTTGAGTTGAATAGGATTTATTATAGACCAATCACGACGCTTAAAATTGTGTTTTTTTACACAGGCCAAAATTTAAAACCCATCTCTTTTTAATACGTTAGATGTTGATAAAACGTAGGTCTCATACCCTGAATATTTTCTTATACAGCGTTGCCATGGCTTCTAAAAACAAATTTACAAACTGACCTTATAATATTATACAATAAACCAGCAAGAGTTCTTATAATATTTAAATTATAAAATTTCCACTTCTCCACGAACAGTAGCAGTATCTCCTGTTGCAGTAAGTAGTCGACGATTGGTAGATTTTATTCCAAATTCCAAAGCTCGAGCCAATGCATCAACCAGGTGGCTTGAACGAGCCAGTGTTAAAGCCTGTCTTGTTTCGTTGTCTCGAAGTTACAACGCTTCTCGAAGCGATTACTTAACTATTAAACTAACTAAACACTTAACTTCTAATTATTTGTATATCACTACTGTTCAAGAGTCTATTTATTTGCACGTATATTTATTTATTTCGTCGCGAGTACCAAAACTTGACTGACTGCTCCATGCTGCGCTGTTCCTTATATATTCAGTGCCTATGTGACACTAGTCACGCAAGCGCCTTCTCAAACATTCCAGCGAGCTCCACACCACTCTCGATTGTTCGACCGGCGATGACTCATCGGCAATTGTTACAGTTATTACACCTTTTTGGAAAAGACTTAATTTTCTACAAAAAAATGCCTTTACTTTTTTCTATAAAGTCAACCGTTTACAAGTTAACAGCGTACAGCCTACATGCTTTTTTAATGGAAAAACTTGAACGGGGTTCTAGTTCCCAAAATTATTGATAAAAGCTCATATTAATGTTAATTATTGACAGAATTTACTTTATTGTGAATTATTGAAGCGGTTAAAAAAACGAAAAAAAACGATTTTTTTATTATTAGTGATTATATCTTTTATTTCATAGGTAGAAACGTTACAAGAAAAAATAATATCACTACAATTAACAAAACCAGAGGAATTATCTATAGATTTGGCAATGACCAGTAAAGAAAAATATGAACATTTAAAGGAAGAAGACATTGTTGAACCTCCCAGTCCAACCACAGAAGAGGAAAAAATGTTAGACGTAAACAAGAAGAAAAGAAGGAAGCGTTCTAAAAAAGGAAAACATTAATCATGCTTTTAAGAATATTTTAGAAAAGAAGTTTCTTTAGGGTGGTGGGATATGTTTATTTTAGTTTATTAATTGTATTTTAAATTATATTTAATTTTTAAGTAGGATTCAAATCTGAAATTGTTAATGTGTCATTATAATGACACAACATAAACAATTTATAGATTGGTTTAAATTTTGTTAATCCTTGTTTACATAAATTACACCCAAATTGTTAGGTACCAATGATTCTTGGTATTCTTTGAGAATTTTTTTTTAAATTTTATTAAGAATAGAAAACCTTAGTTGCACTTCTTCAAGACACCCTAATTTATTTAAGTAAATGGAAAAAATACTACATTCTTAAAAAAATTTAATAAAAACATTTATGAATAAAAATTAAAGATTTTATTTTTATTTATTTATCAAATAATATATTATACTTTAACAAAACAGTTTTATAACTGTAATTACCGTCAAAACCATGAAAGTTTTATAAGTTATCGTCTCAATATAATTTTTAAATTGAAAAAGTGTAAATTTTAATAAAAATTCCCATTTTAAAATGTTGTCCAAAAATATTATGGGAGCTACAAGTCGGTTAAATTAGCAATTAGTGACATTTTTTTTTCTGATAAAAATAGTGAAAACAGAAAAACAATTGAACGTGGGGTTTTCGAAATATTTCATTTATTTTTAATATTTACATATTTTGAAAGAATTTAATTTGGAACAAAAAATTGTTATTGCACACCTAAACTAAACTTAAAAATAAACAAATAATAAGCATTGGACTTTCTGATACTTGTTTAAATAACCAAATTTTTACTTTATTTTAAATACACTCAGAAAGTTCAAGTGCTTATTAATTGTCTTTCCAAATATGTAAAAATATACAGCGTGTCCCATTTAAAAAATATATATTTTAGTGAATACTTTGGACACAGGACGTTTAATTGTTTTTCTGTTTTTACCATTTTATTCAAAAGAAAAATGCCACTACTTTGTTAATTTCATCAACTTTGTTGCTTCAATAATAACGAAGTTACTTGAAAAAGGACAAATTTGGTGATATGTTAAACAAATATTTAAAATATTCACCAACACCGCTTAAAGCACTTATTGCTAACGATGTTGGCATCTTCAGAAGCGAAGTGTAACTAAATCTAACTGCTAAATCTACCATATTTATACTAATTATAAGCTAAGGTAAATAGCGATAACTGACCGGTACCCAACTCTACCTTGTATAAATTAGTTTGTTAGTTTCTCTTTACGTGTTCACTGCAGCGGTTACGGTTCACAGTTTAATAAACGTTTACGGTTCAGCCAACCTTAGCTTATAATTGAATAATTATTAAGTCAATGCAGAAACTGAATATGTCCCACCTACCTAGTTTTGAGATAAATAAGAAAAACTGAATAACTTAGCGTTGCTTTAATGGATATTTAAAAATGTTTGAGATATGAAAGTAAACTATTTTGTAGATACAAAGACATGATTTGAAGTATTCATAGTTTTGAATTCTTAGAGAGAAAAAATCACACAGGTTGTGGACATATATAGTTCGGCATTGATTGCAAATAAAATTTATAAAATATGTAAATAAACCGTTTTAAAGATAACTTATTTCTAATGCAAAAATAAAAATAAAACAAATTCAATAATAATCTTGTAACATTTTTTAAACGTTTTCTGTTTCTACTTCACTGTCTTCCTCTTTTTCTTTCGTAGGCCACTGTAAGATATCCTGGTAAAATTCATCATGCTCTTCATCAATATACTGGAAAACGCTCTGGATATCCTTCAGTTTCTTCTTATTTATTGGAATTTTACTATTATAGGCAAATTTAGATGGTAAGGGAACTGGTGTTTTGCTCAGTCGTAATCGAAATGTGTGCACTGTTATTCCATCAATAAAATCTCTTGTTATTATAGAACCTTGCATTTCAGTTTTAAATTCAAATTGATTATATTTTGATATATTAAAACTTTGTTTATCTCTTCCTTTTGAGTTTGCACTTTCAACCGATGTTACCATTTATTTCCAATTTCCTGGACACCATGTTTTAAAATCCTTTAAATCCCTTGTTTCTACCATTTGAATTTCAAATTTATCTTGCTTATTTGATTTTTTCATCATTAGAGCATATTCCTCTGGAAAATAAACGCGGTCAGCTCTGCGTATAATCCGCTTTATTTGCCCGAAATCGCGGTCGCAGGGTAGGAAGGAGTGACCTCGTATTGGTAAAGAAAAAAACTATTTTACTGAATATACCAAAATCAGAAAGTGCTGATATGAATCTTATCAGTGTATGATTCTTGTTCTGACCACTGCAGTTGTCGCTGAATAGGTAAAGTTCTTTTACTTCGTCGGAAATGTTATTTTTAATATAGTCTTGCAGAAATGTGCAGACTTCATTGGGAGACTTTTTGGCTTTGCCTTTATGCGTTGTTAGTGTTAATATTATGGCTAAAAGTATAGACCCAGAGCTGACGGTAGTAAAATATGTCTTGCACAGGAATATGCGGCAGGTGTGAACGATTAATTCAGCACTATACAGTTTACATATGCGATACACCCGTCCATTCGTAATGCCATGGACTGCTATGAAAGCTTTTTTACAAACTTCTTGCCTTGTATTGTTCACAAACAAAAGTTATTTAAAGGAGCAAGATTTTTGTTTATTGGCCACATTCTTTCTACTTCGCTTTCTTTGTATATTCGCAACTGTAATCAATCCTTGTAAGTAAATGTCTTGCTCGTTTTTGTTCGTGAAATTGTTGAAATGACATTAACGATATTGAAGATATTCTGGAGTTAGACTTGAAAAACATTTCTTTTTACAGCTGAAATATAAATACTACTTTAGTAATCAAATACCCATTATTAACTAAAATGTAAAGCATACCTGCATGCAGCATGCGTCACCTGTTTTTCTGCTTTGAACGATATTTCCTCTCCAGTTTGTATGTTGCTTCCCAGCAACCTTAGAATTTCTGATTGTTTCTTTTATACCCTTTGGTGTGGAAAATACCTTTAATTCTTTTTGCAGGAATCACGGTTTCACTTTCTTCTTTGTAAATACTGGTATCACTACTTGATTCTGACATTATAACTGGCAAATAAATGATCACTTGCACAATTTAAAATATGTCACATACACTCAGTTGCACAGGATATAATATATTTTATGCACGATGACATTATAATATGACAATTATAACAAAAATTCTTTGACGTAAACGTCTTTTTATAGCCCGCGGGCGTTATTATGGCCCAGCGGGCTATAATGAAACGTCAAAAATTAAAAACAACAATGTTACACCATTTGATATATTCGAAGTAAGTTTTTTCGTATAAAGATTTTGATTTTACCGGCAGCAGGCCGCAATTTTTCGCCTTTTCAGCTGCTTCCTCAATTTCATTTATCTTTAAACTTTAAAACTGACTGATGTCAGTTGACATTATAATATGACAATTATAACAAAAATTCTTTGACGTAAACGTCTTTAAAAACAATAATATATTAAAAATAATAATATATTAATCGTGCATAAAGTTTTGTATGCATTGCTGGCATAACTGGTTTTTATGGTCCTACGACGCTTTTCTAGCCCTCGCGCTGACGCGCTCGGGCTCGAAATAGCGCCTCGGACCATAAAAACCTTATTATGCCCTTAATACATAAATAACTAATATCATATGTGTCTTCTAGATGACACATTTTAAATGTGACATTTATAACAGTTTTATGCAAAAGGGAGACCTGATTTTAATCCTTGCGTTTGATGAATTTCAATGTGACATTAAAGTGACTTTTTATCATATCCTTGATTTAAAAAAGTATCCTTTACACTATAAAATAAATTTTAAAAATCGGTCACTTGACTTTTTACTTGTAGTCGATTTCCGTGAAACCGAGTGTACTAATTACAACGGCTGAAAAATTAAAAAATCAGCTGTTTCTAATCGCGCGTATACGATTTATACATACAGGGTGAGTTTTAAGTTGACGCGTTCCTTTTAACAGCGTGTAGAAATTAGATAGACAAATAAATATTTTAAGTAAATACTTTTATCAAAACTCAAAAATTAGAGAGTTATAGCCCTTCAAAATTTAATTAAATTTTGAGCCGGTCCTGGCTATTGTTAACAAAAACATAACCATAAAAATAAAAATAACAAAATAAACAATGCAAAATGTCATCTATGACAACAAACATAACCATTTAAATCAAAATGACATTTAGCAATGAAATGTCATTATTTACCTAAGTTTTTTTGGGCCTCAATTATTGTTAAAAATGTGTTATTTTGGTTTAAATGGTTATGTTTGTGGTCATAGATGACATTTTGCATTGTTTATTTTGTTATTTTTATGGTTATGTTTTTTGTTAACAATAGCCAGGACCGGCTCAAAATTTAATTAAGCTTTGAAGGGCTATAACTCGCTTATTTTTGAGTTTTGATAAAAAAGTTACTTAAAATATTTATTTGTCTATCTGATTTCTACACGCTTTTAAAAGGAACGCGTCAACTTAAAACTCACCCTGTATAATGCAGAAAGTGTCCTGGACATATTCAGTTTTTGTACTATATTAACGCCTTTGTATAATCTAGAATACCGTGATATGTGAAATTTCTACGCCATTCGATCGGGCACCCTTTACTTATAGTAAATCCATGTTTAACTCAATTTCCCTAAAAATTGGACATATAAATTAGTATAAATATGGTAGATTTAGCAGTTAGATTTAGTTACAATTCGCTTCTGAACATGCCAACTTTAAGAACTTTTGTTTTGGTGTTGGGGAATATTTCGAATATTTGTTTAATAACGGAGTTAGCAATGAGGAGCAGATAACTATGGACACCCTTTATTTATATATTAAAAAGACAGCATTTCATTAGGGTCAACAAAATTTTGCTCGTGCCGACCCCTAAAAAGCTTCCAAAAAAGTATGTGGCTTTGTATGCCAAATCGGCTGCGAAAAACATACATGTCTCCGATTTGCTTCAAATTTTGAGGGCTATAGCGGAACCTAAAATATCTGAAAAAATACCATAAAAATAACATCAAAACTTCTGCTTGCTGCTTAATTTTTAATTATAAATTCAATAAGATCATAGGTACCTTAAGAATTAATAATTCTTTGAGGTCATGTTTTATTAAATAAAGCAACATATTAAACTGATTTACAAAACGATTCAGTCAATTCATCACATCTTTGTAAAAACAATTCTTGAGATTATGATTAAATACGGCGACTCCAAAAAGATTCTTTTACAGTGAGAATAGCAAAAAGTTTTCCAGAAATCTATATACCGTATTTTCACAGTATACAGTACCGAGTGCATTCAAACTCCTTCAAAGAGAGTGTTGATATTTTGCCCCCTTCGAGTATCATTTGGGTTTTGTATTTATAAGCGAAAGGATCTCGAACAGTGCACTACGGTGTCCCGTCGCCGCTAAAAATATCCCCACTCTCTTGTAAGGTGTTCGGATGCCCTCCCTACTGTATACTGTGAAAATACGTTATATAGATTTGTGGAAAACTTTCTGATATTCTCACTGTAAAAGAAACTTATGATTTAATCATATATGATTAATCTCAAGATTTTTTTTTTTACAAAAATGTGTATACCTTTAGCATAAAAATGCGTTTTAAATAAATATTTTAGTAGGTGTGCAATGCTTTTTATTTTATTTAACAATTTTCTTTGTTTGGGGCTCCCATATGATCGGGACCCCCGGGCACTGGACCGAAACTGCCCAATCATATGTCCGCCCCTGCCTCTGCAATTAAAAGTACACAATTAAGAAAAACATGCAGATACATTATTTCTTAGTTCCTATTGCACTATAATTGTGGAATATTGATTACACAGGTTCGCAAAAAAATTAAATAAGACCATAATATTTCTAATATTTTTGCCCGCTGAAATTAAATATGAACTCAGCGAAAATACAGAGGAATAGCATGGTCTTCTTTACAGCGCAGACCACCCTTTTATATGGGCCTGTGAAATAAATAGGTAAAATTAAATGTTAAAATGAAAAAAAAATATTTCGAATTTACATTTTATTTTGAATTGTCAACGACTTTTTCTTATCAAATTTTTCTATAAAATAGTATCCTGTACATTTAATTCACCTTTTTTGTAGAAATCTTTTTTTAAAGCAATTAGGATTTTTTATGAAGAATGATTTTTTTCGTAAAACCCTGTTTTTTAAACAAGCAGAAGTTTTATTTATAAGGAATTAATTCCTAATTGTTTTCGTAAAACGCATAATAAAAAAGTTTTCCAAATGGAAATTCCATTTGGGGACACTGTAGAAAAAAATTAAGACGTATAGGGAAACAGAGTTTAGATATAGTTTCAGCGGGCGAAAATACATGTGAAAATCATAGTTTCATTCATGGCGCAGACAACCTTCAATAACTAATTACTGAACTTACTGCTTGTAACTAGTTAGTAACTTGTCAGTAACTGGATAGTAACTAGCCAGTAAGTAGTCAGTTTTAGTCCTGCTTTTTTGCACGTTCCGACAGGTAAGTCGAAAACTGCCGTTGATCAGTGGCACTATTTAACGCGCTTCCGTGAAGAAAAAAATTCATAACTTCTGCAGTTTTCGAGTGCGCAAAAAAATGAATACCTACTCAAAAATTGCGCAAATATTAGGACTATAAGTATGATTTTTTTCAGATTTAAAGAAAATGTCGGGTTTTTCAAAATATCAATTTATTAACTATTTTTTTAATATTTTTCTTTTTTTTTTATAAAACTTTTTAATTTTTTTAAACGCAGCTTGAAACAAGGGATATATGAATTAAAAAAAAATCAACTGTTTAATTCTACTTTTCATTGTTTATAACATTGAGTAACATCTTACTCAATGGTTTATACTGCAAAAATTCATAAAAAGTGATGAAATTTTAGATGTTTTTATTTTTTGGGCTCCACTATTATATAGACCCTCAAAATTTGAAGCAAATCGGAGACATGTAGTTTTTCATTTCGGGAGATTTCGCATGTAAGTACATATGTTTTAACGTAAAAGGAAATGTGCTACTTTTGTTTAGATTTTTATTATTTACGCTGTATACTGTAAGGTTTTATACCATACATTGGTTGGTTAGGCGCCTAATGTTTTCAAGTGGAAACATGGGCGTTGTCAAAAAATACAACACTGTGCGACCAATTTGAGGTAACCAATTTTAATTTTTAATAATAAAACCCTCACTGGGTTTGTTTAATTTAAAGTTAGCTCGAATTTTTTATGAAGTTTTTAAGTTATGGGTATTTTATTGAAAATTTATAAATCAAATTTTGCTTATAAATTGTTTACAGACTTGCATTCTTTTAAATTATTATTTTATATTGGAAAATTAAAAAAGTAAAATAAACCAGCCCTTGTGGAAATTTTTCTCTGTAAAAATAAGAGTTTTGAAAGTCTTTCTTTCTCTTAAAAACTCTTAAAAACTCTGAATAAGACTTATTAAGTCGGAAAAAGTCTGAATAAGTCTTAGTAAGTCATAATAATGGAAATATTTTGGGGTATTCTGGAAGAGTTAAGAAGACTTTTAGCAGAGAAATGGTAGGTAGGTACCTATAGCGATAAAAATAAATATCCGGAATTATTCAGAGTGGTTGTATTTGATTATTGTAAAATAAAACACAAAGAAAATTATTTATTAACATTTTTTCTGTGTTATAAGCCAAGTTTATTGCGTAATTATCTATATAATAACATATGTAAGGTGTAATAATTATAACAATTATAATTTTTTACATACGATGCGGTTGACTTGCTTTCATTGTTGTTTTTTTATGCGCAAATATTCAATCTGTCCATTGTTCCAAACAATTGTTCTAAAAACAATAATAATACATGTTTTCTAGACGCAATATTGATTTTCTCAGCTTCCCGCGTTTCCTAGAGTCCTTATAGCTCTTCTGTCAGTCCGACCCAGTGTTGCCGTTTGCAAGTATTTTACTCGAAAATAGGGTATTTTGCAAATTTCGATTAAAATAATAACTAAAGAAATTTTCAGTAAATAATATTGTATATTTACTAAATATGCACAATTATTTTATTTTATCCTGTTACATTTTTGTTTACTAACAATTTTAAATTAATTAAACTTATTTTTTTAAACGGGGCGAATGCGCTAGTAAATTTAAA